CCCGGCCTCCCCCGCCGTGGGGGGCAGGGCCCGCACTGCGGGGCCGCGCCGGAGAGGCGCTGCCCGCCGGGAGCGTCTCCTTTCTTCTCTCCGAACCCTACGTCCTTGCGGGGCCGGGCGCCCACCGCGGGGGCGGGACTCCGTGTCCGCCTGCGCGCTGCGAGTTCTGCCTTCCCTCCGCGGGCGCTTTGTTTTGGTCGCTGTCGTCACGCATCCGAGCCTTCCCTCTCCTGCCGAACTAAGTCATTCCCAGGAGGGTTGCTCTGAAGCTATATGAGAACATGTTAAAGTTCTTAGCTCCGTGCCTGGCACGTGCTAATAAACTAGGGTGGCCGCGCCTGGAGAGGCGCTGCCCGCCGGGAGCGTCTCCTTTCTTCTCTCCGAACCCTAGTCCTTGCGGGGCTGGCGCCCACCGCGGGGGCAAGACTCCGTGTCCGTGTCCGCCTGCGCACTGCGAGTTCTGCCTTCCCTCCGCGGGCGCTTTGTTTTGGTCGCTGTCGTCACGCATCCGAGCCTTCCCTCTCCTGCCGAACTAAGTCATTCCCAGGAGGGTTGCTCTGAAGCTATATGAGAACATGTTAAAGTTCTTAGCTCCGTGCCTGGCACGTGCTAATAAACTAGGGTGGAGGCCATGCCGCCTCCTGGGAAAGTTCCCCGAAAAGAGAACCTGGGGCTACAGTGTGAGTAGGGGTCCTGCTCCTTTGTGTGCTCAGCCATGGAGGAGTTCTGCGAGCATGTCACCCAGCACCTGCACAGCTCGGGGGAGGAGGAGGACGAAGAGGAGGAGGACTTGCTGGAGGAAGAATTCTCCTGCTTCTGGCAGGAGTGTGGCTTTTGTTCTCTGGACAGTTCTGCTGACCTTGTCCGCCACGTCTACTTCCACTGCTACCACACGAAGCTGAAGCAGTGGGGGCTGCAGGCCCTGCAGAGCCAGGCCGACCTCAGCCCTTGCATCCTGGACTTCCACAGCCGCAACATCATCCCTGATATCCCTGACCACTTCCTGTGTCTGTGGGAGCACTGTGAGAGCGCCTTCGACAATCCCGAGTGGTTCTACCGGCACGTGGAAGCGCATAGCCTGTGCTGTGAACACAAAGCCATTGGCAAGGACAACCACGTGGTGCTGTGTGGCTGGAAAGGCTGTACCTGTACCTTTAAGGACCACTGTAAGCTTCGCGAGCACCTCCGCAGCCACACCCAGGAGAAGGTGGCGGCCTGCCCCACCTGCGGCGGCATGTTTGCCAACAACACCAAGTTCTTAGACCACATCCGTCGCCAGACCGCACTGGATCAGCAACGCTTCCAGTGCTCTCACTGCTCCAAGGGGTTTGCCACTGAGAGGCTGTTGCGGGACCACATGCGTAACCATGTGAACCACTACAGGTGCCCTCTGTGCGATATGACCTGTCCCCTGCCATCCTCCCTCCACAAACACATGCGCTTTGGCCACAGCGAGGACCGGCCCTTTAAATGCGACTGCTGTGACTACAGCTGCAAGAACCTGATGGACCTCCATAGCAAGGAGCCAGCCTACAGGTGTGATTTTGAGTACAGGTGTGATTTTGAGAACTGCAACTTCAGCG